GCTCATTTAATTGAACTTAAGCTCCCCTACATAGGAGGGAATTCCTGCTTTGCACTGTAAGACAATCAGCTATGGCTAGAGGGGTCACAGACCCTAGTTCTGCCTTTTCCTAAACCAATGTAATTTCTGTTGAATTCAAATATGTATCCCTATAACCAAAGGTAGGTACAATTCTGATCCATCATCAAAGAAGCTTCATTTTGCATTTTTGAGACTAGTTCAGAGAATCACACCTGGGAAAAACTCAAGTGACTAACCCAGCGATGTACAAATCCATCTGGTACGTCTACAGTGCAACCACCAACATCTAGTGGGTAAAATATGGGAAAAATGGTGGGAAGATTGTAAGAGCAGAAGTATAGGATGCCTACTGTTGAGGATCTTCTAGAGCTAACAAGGAAGATGCACCCATGAAATCTCAACAATATGGCTGCCTAAATAAGGTATGGGTAATCACAATATCGCCTGACATACTAATGTGGACAGGGGAAACTTCACAAGCCCCTGGCCCAGAAAAGATTAGTTGCTATAGGCAATTAATGGCTGCTAAGAGAAAGGAAATCAATTGCTACTTTACACAGCTTACCCAATCCCAAACAGTCAACCATAAACATACAAAAAAAAAAGCATTATGAAACAAACCCGTATGTGGTAAACATGCATATATATGTATGTGCATATATATACATATACACACGTGTGTATATTTGTAACAGTAACAAATTAGAACAAATAATACATTTGAAAGGAAGAGGAGAGGGATGCAAGAGGATCTGGCAGGAAGAGAGGGAGAGGTGCAAATGATGTAAATAAAGTATTCATATATGAAATTCTCAAAATATAGAAATATTAAATTTTAAAAGTAATTATTTTTATCTCTGTATATTTCTGCCTTCTTTAACTATTATTGACTATTTAGTTTTTGTGGCACTTCTCTCTAAATTTTCCTATCATTCAAGTATCATTTGTCATTTGCTTATCACATGATAGATGCCACATGTGCTAGGGATATAGCAATTAACAAAGTAGATTGTTTCCTAACCTGAATGGGGATTTATTCATTAGCAGGAGACACACATTAACAAAATGTGTGTTAAAATGGTTAAGTTATAAACTAGTATGTGTATACACTAATGTAGGAGGTTCTTCTGTCTATGTGTTGATTTCATTGGTTGAATAAAGAAAACTGCCTTGGCCTTTTGATAGGGCAGAACTTAGATAGGCGGAAAGACAGAACTGAATTCTGGGAGGAAGAAGGCAGTGTGGCAGACACCATGGTTCTCCTGCCCAAGATGGACGCTGGTTAGACTCGTGCCAGTACGTCACAGTCAAGTGGCGATACACATTAATGGAGATGGGTTAATCAAGATGTGAGAGTTGGCCAAAAAGAGGCTAGATATAATGGTCCAGGCATTAATTTAATTAATACATTTTCTGTGTGTTTACTTTGAGGGTTAAGCAGGCCAGGTGGCGGGACATGGCCCACACCCTCCTACTACAGGTGTAAGCTAGCCGGACTGGATGGAACAAAAGGACCTGCTCTCCCTACTACAATATGCAAAGACATCGGACTAAGTATGTGCATGATTCTATATCCAAGTTCTGCAGCTGTGGTCTCAAGAACCAGTGGGTTGAAAACCGTAGCAAAACAGGGGCCTGAGGATATGGTCAGTCAATAAAGTTTTCACAGCATAAACATGAGGACCTGAGTGTGAACTTTAATACTTATGTAAAAACGCAGGTGTGGTGGCCTGCATATTAAGACCAGCCCAAGGAACATAGAGACAGGAGAATACCACAGGTGTGCCGGGTGTTAGTGCAGTCAATGAGCTCCAATTCAGTAAATACTTGTCTCTTGACAAGTATAATAGAAAGCAACTGAGGTAGACAGCTTCTGCCCTACACACACATATACAAGTACACATCAGACATATACACACACCGCACAAAATAATTAAAAGGAATTGCATCTACACATACACCCCCCCCACACACACACAAGTATAAAACAATTCAAAGGAACTGCATCCACACTAAATTTAGTATCCTTCTTTTCAGTTTGGAGCATGTCCTGGAACTAGCTCTTGCAGACTACTCTGGCCTCATGCTCACAGAGATCCACCTGTCTCAGCCTCCTGAGTGCTGGGATTAAAGGTGTGTACTTGGTGATTTACACTATATCCTTTTAGAGGCCCATGTATGTACGTATGTGTGTGTATATATGTATATGAGTGAGCTACCAGCTAACATATTTATATATTGAAAAGGTGAGAAACAATATTAAATATAATTATTACTTAATCATATCTCAAATCAATAAATAAAGGTATATTTTACTGAATAAAATGTAGAATCCTCTAAACAATATGAAGACAGTATTTTTTGAAATAAAATCATATTATTTTGTGTGTATAAGTGTTTTGGCTGCATGTATGTCTTTGCATCAAGTGTGTGACTGGTGCCCATAGAGGCATGAAAAGAGCTGGAGTTATGAAAGGTTATGAGTTGCTATATAACTGTGGGAACTGAACCCAGGTCCTCTGAAAGAGCAGTCAGTGTTCTTAGCTGCTGAGCCATCGCTCCAGCCCCTAACAGAATCTTTTAGAAGTTTAATTTTTAGTTCTAAAAAATCTACAGCATTTCTGAAATATCTGGGAGAAATTATTAGTTTTTGTTTGTTTTGTTTTTAGATTTACTCTAAGCTGGGTGGTGGTGGCACACACCTTTAATCTCAATATTAGGAGGCAGAGCCAGGTGGATCTCTGTGAGTTTAAGGGCAGCCTGGTCTAGTGAATTCCAGAACAGCCAGGGCTGTTACAGAGAGAAACTGTCTTGGGGAAAAAAAAGATTTGAATTTTATGGGTATGAGTTGAGTGCTCATTCATCCCTATATGTATGCCTGATCACCATGTGCAATGCCCACAAACGTCAAATAAAGGGCGCCAGATCTTATGGAACTGTAGTTATATACAGTTGTTAGCATCCAGGGGATGCTAGGAACTGACCCATATCTCCTGCAAGAGCAACAAATGACAGAGGGTTCAACACACAAGGGCATGGCTTCAACAGGAAAAAAAAAAATAAAAACAAAAATCAGATGTAAACAAAAGCAGAAGCCGGGCAGTGGTGGCGCATGCCTTTAATCCCAGCCCTGGGGAGGCAGAGGCAGGTGGATCTCTGTGAGTTCGAGGCCAGCCTGGTCTACAAGAGCTAGTGCCAGGACAGGCTCCAAAGCTACAGAGAAACCTTGTCTCGAAAAACTTAAAAGAAAAAAAAAAAAAAAAAGCAGATGGAAACGGAAAGTATATATACAATTTTAAAAGAGAAATATCCATCAGGTATAATCATTATTTGACTTGAAAAAACAGTAAACAATGTATTCTTCTTAATATGTGTACTCTGATGTCCCCACCCCCCACATCTCTGCTTAGTTAAAGCTGTTATCCTGCATGCTCTTTAGTAGTCTCATACTCAAAACCCATGCCTGTGAACAAAAAGGTAACAAAGTTTTCTTCAACAGCCTGTAGGCTCACAAAATTGAACCTGTTCTTTTATCTGCCTGTGCTCATTTAGCCCACCAAGCAGTCTTTATTAAAGCTGCAACATCAGGCAGTCAAAGTTCATTAATACCATTTATATAATCTCTGCAATTTCAATTAACTCAGCAAGACATTCTACTACATGATAACAGTCTCATTAATTCAATAAAATCCCATAACTATTAACAATATGGTCGATGTTAAACGGGGTGTCACCTAGTACAAAATAATAGCTTTAACAGCTTGTGATGAAACTGAAGGCTTTTACCCCTTAAATTTAATACGGTTAAATATTCAATCCTTCTACAGCAAGGTATTATTTCTCTAAGAAAAAATCCTTAGGAATTTAACATGTAGAGGGGGGTAATCAAGTCTTTTAAAGTGAAACCCAGGTATAAGATTTCAATATTTTATATTTAGTAATTGATAGGCTTGTTTCAACTTATCTAGAAATATAATCTTCCACACTCCTACATAGTCTTTAATATAAATACACTGGTCTACATACAACAATGATGGAGTACGATGTTACATTATCTTCTCTGTATAGAACTTGTTTCCATTATGGAAGACTTCCCTGATTTAGTTTACCTTTTTAAAAAGAGAACTAAAGAAAGAAACTGAAGAAGACACTAGAGGATAGAAAGACCCACCTGCCCCATGCTCATGAATTGGTGTAATTTATATTGTAAAAATAACCATCCTAACCAAAGTAAGTTATAGATTCAATGTAATCTTAATCAAAATACCCACAAAAATCATAAAATTTGCATAGAAGCATAAAAAACCCTGATAACCAAAGCAATCCTGAACAAAAACAATAGAAAAATTACTATGATGGATGTCACGCCATCCAGTGGCAGTATAATATTTACTGTTACAGTAAACGAAGGCAGTGTGATTCAGCACAAAAACAGACCGGGAGAGCAAGGGACAAAACAGAGGACTCAAGTGTGAGTGCTGTATTCCGGAGCCTCTCCATCCCCATGCTCATCTTTGAAGCTCTAAATGTAAAGGAACTATGGCATATTTTAATAAGATACATATCCCAGACTATTACTGAGATCATACATTAATTTAGAAAGAAGAAACATTTGTATTTAAAATTTCCCACTGAAAAACATGCTATTATTTTTCTATTTATTTAGCCATTGCTTTAGTACTTCAAAGTCATTTACAGTTTTCTTTATACAGTTTTTATAACTTTATTACCAAATATATCTGCACACATTTGAATGAGATGCATATCTTCAATTTAAATTCTAAACGGCTACTGCTGGGCTGTAACTGACATGAACACATGCGACAGAGCTGGATGAGGAAAGGCCTAGCAGTTCTGGCATCAACTGTTCACACTCAACAACAAAAGGCATGTACACAGTAGTAGCAAACATAGTTCTTCATACAGCTGTATGGATATTCTGACTCAATAGGGTGTCACCTGTAAGATATTTTCCTTACCTGTTTATAAAGCAACTGCTCATTTTCTCTAGCATAACAAAACAGAACATCTGTAAGAATTTTTCTCACATTTTCTTGTTGGAAAAACTGCATTTCAGGAAATCTGAAAAAAAGAAAACAATGAACACATATTGAACCTAACCAGCAGTTTCAGGAATATCCAAGGTCTGCAGAACGTTTCACCTCAGCTCTGATCAGCTATGACAGAATTAAAGAGGCGATAAAGAAAAATAAAAACCATTAAATTCCACAGGCACATGATATCCTTCAATAACTAAACATTTCATTCTTTTCATATAAATGATTTTTTTCATATACTTAAAGTAAATGTAGGAATTATAGTAATTTTAGAAATAACCCAATCAACCTTTTGGGGGGTGAGAAGTTGTTTTGTTTTTAGCCTATTTGGGGGGTATTGTCTGTTTCTTTCAAAGAAACAGTCTGGTCTCACTAAACAATCCAGTCTAGTGTGGAAGTGGCAATCCTCCTGCTTCAGTTTCCTGGATACTATAATTATATAGGTATGTGATCACATATAATCACCCCATTTGGTTTTTTGAAAATATGCCAAATCATTGTAACTATTTTTTTGGTATCAGGATTCCAATTCTACACTGCAGTACCATCAGTTTCATCTGATTAGAATACAGAATTAAATGGAACACAAGATAGTAAGTCTTGATGAAATGTCTTTGATTGACTGTGAAATATAAAATGGTAGATAACCTGCTTGAAAAGGGTTGAATCAGTTATCTGGGATGTGACAACGTACAACTGAAAGAAACCAATGAGCAAACACAGCAACACACATACAATGGAAGGACCGGAAGCATGTCATCTCTAAGAGTCAACTGGGTTCAGCCAACAATTTGTGCAGAAGAACATGGAATATTAGCATGAAGGGCAACTAGATCAGACAGAAGGATAAGAAAGCAAATAAGGTGGTCAGTGTACCAAACAGATAACTGGAAATAGAAGATAAAGGTAAGTTACATGAAACAGGAGTATGGCTTTGGTATAGAAAAAAAGGCGGGCCAGGTTTGGAAAAAAGGTCTAACTGAGTAACATAATTCAGGGAGTCCACATTTTTTTTATTAGGGGAGTGATAAAGACTACTGGCAGAAATAAGCCTGTCAGTAAGCTGTTATGGGAAGAAATAGAAAGCTCACAAATCTAAGGAGAAAAGTCTGCGTTTAAACTCATGCCGCCACATTTCCAGCTGAAACAAGGACAGCTGGGAGCTGTCCCTATGGAGCAGGAGAGGTAGTGCTCATCTTCTCAGCAAGAGGGCAGCATGGGGAATGGTGGGCTTTGAGGACAAAAACTATCATTAATCTGGGAGTAAAGGTATTTTAGTTGAGAAAATGGATCTAGCAGGCTGTGGAAACACAAAACTAAGAAAAAAATTAATAGAATGGGAGGAAAACTACCTACAGCATGGAAGCATATGAAGAACATGGAGGAAAGGGGCATTACTACTAATTCTAGATCTTGTTGGCATAGGGTATTACTACCACTAGAGCATGGAGGAATAGAGTATTACTACTACTTAGAAGATGAAGGAATAGCTCATTACTGCTACCTAGAACATGGAGGCAGAGGGCATTATTGAAAATGGCAAGTACTTTCCAACGGAGTCATTTAGAGACTAGTAATATCTGAGTACTCCATATTACTAAAGCTTACTGCTTTTTTTCTGGAGACCTTGGCTGTTCTGTGCTTCAGACCCATCCAGTGCTGTCTAACTATGACTGTCAGCAGTTCCTATAGTTCAGGCTATACTTGTAGTGGAGCTATATTAGGCAGCAACGAGGAGCAATTTTTTTTAGATCCTATTTCTTATAAAATTAAGTCAATTTCTTCTGAGTTTGTATGACTCTTTTAAAATATTCCTTTGATGAGCATGTATGTTAGACTCAGATTTTCACACATCCTTAGCAGCAACAGAACCTCTTTGGGGGTTGGGAAACAACGTAAGAATCTGAGCAGGGTGAAGGCACAACTGTGCATGAGCCTGCTGTGACAACCTCCAGATACCCTGACTCCCCATTGACCTGCAGGCAGTAATCAGGATAATGGATAAATATGCAATTAATGAAGTAAACTGCTATTCTTAGAGAAATAGTTAAGGAAAGAATAGAGCATTTTAGTGAGGAAATTTCTGTGTCTGTCCCTCATAATGTGACTTAAGCTTATTTCCGTTGTTAAAGTAGATGCAGGAAAAAAATTTGCATCAGCTGGGTCAATAATTTTGTGTGATGCTTTTTTGTCTATTATTTATCTATTATTTAGAAATGTTTTATGAGCACTGACAAAAATAAGTACAGTTTGGGTGTTGTAATACAATGATCATGGAAAAACAATGAAAACTGATATACTAACTTTGCCGAGTATGTTTATGAATTTTGTATATAGCGAGTGTTTGCCATCTAAATATGAAAAATTAAATTACATTCTATACAATTCATGGTTTTATTTAAAGTCATACTAATCACTTGGGAGGTTAAAAGTAAGAGACCTATATGAATTAAAATTCAGATAGATAATTTAAATTGTTCATTATTAGTAAAAATTAACAAAAAATGGATTAAGCACCAGCATGTTATATGAGCACATCTACATGTATACTCTCCAATTTTCAAGGACCAATTCATGAAATTTCATGTTGCCCTATATGTCTTATTTTTTTTGAGAAGTATGATTTGATCTTCAAAATCCTTTGAAACCACAGCATTAAGTAACTGAGGAAGAAATACACAGGAGATTTCTGAAAAGGAAACACAAGGATGTGCTTTCTCATAAGTTAGAAAAAGAACTGATAATCACATAAGTGTTACATTGGAAAAATCCAGAGATAATCCAGTCCAATTCAGATCAATTAGCAATAGAGTGGAGCCGAAAGAAATTCGTAATGGCCAGTGTGAGTGGCCAGACAGCAGAGCTCAGCACTAGGTCATTTCATCCCTATGGTTAAAAGTAAGCCTGAGAGCCAGGCTGTGGTGGGGCAGAGGCAGGTGGATCTGTGTGAGTTCAAGGCCAGCCTGGTTTACAAAGATGGTTCCAGGACAGCCTGAGTGGTTACAGAGAAATCCTGTCTCAAACCGTACATCCCAAAGCTACCGATTGAGTCTCCCCTCCCCCCCCAAAAAACCTAAGTAGGACAATAGGAGGAAAGAAAATTCACAATATAAATAGAAGTGAAGCCAAATTTAATTATGATATTACTGAAAAATCAAAGTCCAAGAAAAGTTACTTTTATATTTGGCCAGAAAAATGAAAATAGGATTGAAGACAATTTTGTAATACTATTCAAAGAAATGTATAGGATCAATGCAAGCATCATATTAAACCCTATGTCATTTACAGTACGTACAAAAAAATCATATTTACAAGCCAAGGAAGGTAGAAGCCAGCCAAGGCCCACACAGCACCCCACAACCCTAGAGAACAGGTGCCACTTTGAGGAGCAGGTATGTGGAGGAGAAATGGGAGACAAGCAGAGTGGTGTGAGCACTGCGGAGAGAAGCAGAGCTGAAGGTGCAAAGGAAGTGACAACAGGCTAATATGAGTGGCCTATATTGACACCTGGGACCAAGATTTGTCCAGGCCTGAGCTGTGGCTGGAGGCCATGTCTGGGGTCTGTGATGATGTTTGTGGCCTGTGTTATTATGGGAGGCAATGGGAGTGCTGGTCCCTATAGCCTGGAAACAGGAGAACATTCCTGGCTCTCTCAGTGGAAGAGCTGGCCCCACCCACACCACACCCTACCCCTGCCAGCTGCAGCAGTGGGAGAGCTGGTCCTGTACACAAGAGACTAGGTCTACCCCTCACCTTGAACCCGGGAGAGACAGCCCTGATCCTGGCCTGAGTGTAGTATTCCTAGTGAAGGGTCTGACTGACAAATTCAGCTTCCACCTAGGCCAACATCCAGGGATTTGAGTTGGCCCACCCCAATGTCTTCCCGATCTGTGACTTGTTACAGTTTGTGAAAGGACTGGTCCTGTGAAACCATAGCTGCAGGATCTCCAAGACTCAGGGCAATGGCAGGGTATCTGAGAGGAGTTTCAGTAAGTCCAGTGTTGATGATGTATCAGAAGCCAAAGAGGCCTTGAACCAGACCAACAATTCACTGCAATGAACATTTACAAGTAAAGTTGTTTGGGCAACAATTAAAGTAGTATGGCATTAAAGGCGTGCGCCACCACCGCCTGGCAGGCGGATCTCTGTGAGTTCGAGGCCAGCCTGGTCTACAAGAGCTAGTTCCAGGACAGGAACCAAAAAGAAAAAGAAAAAAAAAAGTAGTATGGTATTGGTATAAAAACAGACACAACAACCAACAGAAGAAAGCACTGTCTTTTGATATTTGAAAATGAGAAAAAGAATATACAAAGGGAAAAGAAACAGTCTTTTGGCGAGTGGTAGTGTTTCACACCTTTAACCCCAGCATTCTGGAGGCAGAAGCAGGTGGATCTCTGTGAGTCTGAGGCCAGTCTGGTCTTCAGAGTGAGTTCCAGGACAGCTAGGGCTACACAGAGACCTGTCTCCAAACACCCCCCTCCTCAAAATAAAAAAAAGAAGTAAAGGGTGAAAGAAAAGAAAGGAAGTAAGAAAGGAAGAGAAAGAGAGAGGACATTTGATATCTATAGGGAAAAGATTAAAACTGGGACCTTATATAAAAACAAGACCTTGTAAATTTTTTTTTAAATGATGAAATTTTAACATAAAACCTGAAAATTACATTACTAGGAGAAAATCTGAAGAAAGCTTACACTGGCCTGGACAATGACTGTTTTTAGATTTGACTCTTAAAGATAAATGGCTGAGGAGATATTTCTCTAAAGAAGACACACAGTGGCTAACAGACAAATGAAGGACTTTAGACTTCCTAGAAAGTAGGGATCTGTAAATCAATGAGATATCACATCACACCTGACAGAATGCATATTCTCAAAAAGACAAAAGAATGAAGTATTAGTGATAACATGCAAAGAATGGAATCCCTGACTATTGTTGGCAAGGATGTAAATTAATACTATCATCATAGAAAATGGTATTAAGGATCCTCAAAAATAGTATTTACTTCTTCACATGGGCTGTAAGATC